AAAACTGGACTTGGCTAATTGCTTTTGTTTATTTTGTGTATGACTTGGTTAATTGCTTTTGTTTATTTTGTTTTCTACCCTGGTTATTTGTCTGCTTTCAGCATTTGACTAAAAGGTGACATGTTTTGAATATCTAGAGGTGATACTATTGAATATGGGTTTTTTGGTAGTCAAATTGCTTACTATGTTCTAGACACAGTACACTTCACAGCAACCCTTTGAGATAGATACAGTTATTCTCATTTTTCAGATGAGGGTTCTTCAGAGATAGGTTATATGACTGCTCAAGGGTACACAGCTAATAATTGGCAGAGCTGCCTCAGAATGTTTGAGACCCCCAAGTGGCTGTGACACTTGAAGCTCTTACTCTTTACCCAATACTGGTTCTAAGTCTAGACAACAGCCTAGATAACCAACACTACCTTTTGTATCATGAATTGACAGAAGTTATTCCTAGATTTAAGGCCATAGCAGACCCTCAGGAATGCTATGCCTTGACACAAAAGAGAGGCCTCTTTGGTCCTAATTGATTGATAGAACTGTCACTTTTTTTTTTGAGACAGGAGCCTCAAGCTGTCCCCCTGGGTAGAGTGCCATGGCATCACAGCTCATAGCAACCTCCAACTCCTGGGCTTAAGCGAGTCTCCTGCCTCTGCCTCCCAAGTAGCTGGGACCACAGGCGCTGGCCACAACACTCGGCTATTTTTTGGTTGCAGCCATCATTGTTGTTTGGTGAGCCTGGGCTGGATTCAAACCCGCCACCTTGGGTGTATGTGGCTGGCGCCTTAGCCACTTGAGCCACAGGCACCAAGCTGATTGATAGAACTGTTTGTCACTGTAGTTTTTCAGGACTTGATTTGCAGTAACAAGTGTGTTCACAGAAGTTTGGTGGTTTTTTTTCTTCTTCTTTGATTTGATTTGTGAATATGCTTTGATACAGCGCTTTCAGTTTAAGGAGTGTGTATGTTTTGCTGTCATTCTTTGCATTCATCCAGTCACATTTCCCAATCCAAAAGTGACCTGCCAGTAAGTGTAGTTTATGGTGATTCTGTATGTTGTTCATACTAATGGAAAAATACCTGTAGTCTGTTTGCTTTTCTTTCTAGGACTTGTCATTACAGGTATTTCTAAATGACATTGTATTAATTTATTTTGTATCTCCCACTAGAATGGAAACTCCATTAAAGTTTGTCCCTGGCTGTATATCAAGTGCCACAAATCATGGCAAGTGCATGCTTAGTAGGCACTCATTCTTTAAATGAATAAATTCAAATAGATATTTGAACATTTGAAAGAGTAAATGATGTAGAAGTCTCACATATAAGCACATCTATTAAAGAGTTCAAGCTTTGGTTGGGATCTGGACGTCTCTCTAGTCCAGATTCCAGTGCTATGTTTCAGAGTTAGTATACCCAGTATTGCCTTCCCACCTCTTTGTTTTACCTGCCTCATTCAGTTTTTAGATTCTTGTTAGTTTTAATCTATATATAATTGCGGAGTTTTTTCTCCATATATAGGATCCATTGGTAGTTTTCATGGATTGTGAAATCCCTCATCTGTTTCTGGAGAACTGTGGTGTGACTGTGGCAATTGATCATACATCTTCTCTTTAACAGAAATGGTCCCTGGTGGCTGACTTCACTCATCATGCTCACACTGCCTCCTTGTCAGCAGTGGCTGTAAATAGTCGTTTTGTAGTCACTGGGAGTAAAGATGAAACAATTCACATTTATGACATGAAAAAGAAGATAGAGCATGGGGCTCTAGTGCATCACAATGGTAAGAAAGTTGCATCCTTAAAATAGTAATGTGGAGGTATATTTTACTTCAGTTGGCTATAGTTTGGCTTCAGTCGAACAGTTCTTTAAGTGTCTGTTTTCTAGCAGTTTCTGTAGTAGGAGATACAGAACAACAACAAAAATCCTTGCCTTCATATTGCTCACTGTGTGAATTGGGAGACAAAAAAGGAGACACTTAACTCATTTGGGGAATGGGGTTTTGGAGAATGCAGTTTTGCTTTGCTTAAAATGACATCTGAATTATCTTAAAAGAAATGTCTGTTGTCAGCCAGGTTTGCAAGGAGAAGCAAGATTATTCCAGCCAGAGGAGGCAATGTGATGAGCACAAGTAGCAGCATTGTATCAATATCTAATACCTAACTTCACTGAGGGCATATCATGTATCCCTCAGTGTGCCAAAAAGGTACTGACTGTTACTTCTTTAGTTCATAGAAGGGGACACCTAGGTTCAAAGATGTTGCACAACTAACCTAAGGTCACAAAACCGTGGAACTAGAACTTGAACCCAGATCTAGAACCTGTGTTTTTAGCCACTAGTGTGCTTGAGAACTGTAAGTAGTTCTGTGTTATGAGAAGGTTAAATTGGAGTGGGGCTGGAGAATGCAAAGGTAGATGGGACCAGATCTTGAAGTTTCGAGAGAAGGCAGGTAGGGATTGAATTGGCAGAGTGCGAGTGAATGAGCAAGCAGATGAGTGGTGTGGGCTTGAGGAAAGTGCTGGCCATTTGGAGATGAGAAAGGTGCTAACTAAGAGCAAGCAAAAGGACTGAGAGTAGCTTGCTCCATTCAGGTTGGAAGCTGTGGATTTGCAGTTTTTTTTGAGTTTCTTCAGCAATAAGCCACATACATTTATAGAGAGAGAGGAAAGTTAATGTGTGTAGTAGAAGGATTGAGTTATAAGGGAATTAAGGATTTTGGTGAAAGAGTAGGTGGTCAGCCTATAGAAAATGGGGTATCAAGGGTAGGGAGAGCTCTCAAATAAAAAACAGGTGGTGTGTGAGTGTATAGCAAGGCATGAAAGGGCGGGGAAGTTGTGAGCTTGCAGCCAGAGGATAGGTTCCTAGAGTTAAGGACTTCCAACGTGGAGCAGCTCTAGGTAGGAATGGTGGGTATGGGGAATTAAAATGCTGAGCAGGCAAAGGTTGCTGGAGTGAGGTCAAGGAGCAGTAATTCCCAGCTCATGGTTGGTTTTCCTCAATGATAGTGAAGTTGTTCAGAATAGTGACAGGATCAAGGGAGAAAAAGACTGAAGAGGTAACTTTTTTTTCTCAGTACTGAACATTTTGTGCTGTTTACATTGCATTTTCCCAGAAGACAGACACACAGAGAATGAGAAGCATCTCAGGAAATTGGTCTCCTACAAAGAAAGGCAGAGAGTTGCCCATTTTCTTACTCTGTATTTCATGTATTTCAAGGGCTGGTTTCTAGCAATAAGTTTAGAGTGCTAAGTGGCTTCCTTCTATTAGATGCTGTCACAGTCCTTTTGGCTTTCTATTACAGAGTACAGTAGAACCTCTCTAAGTCGACCACGCAAGGGACTGTAACAGACTGGTCAATACGCACAGGTGGTCAATGTAAGGAACTAGGTCTCCTGTGCTGATACGTACATATGGTGCTTGCCCAGTCTATGAAAATTAGGTCTCAGCTTAAGGAGGTGGTCAATGTAGGGAGATGGTTAACTATGGACGTTCTACTGTATCTTAGACTGGATAGTTTATAAAAGTACAGATTTATTTCAAAC